TATATATACTCTTTTGTGTCTGGCTTTATTGACTCAATATAATTATTTAAAATTCACTCATGTCATTGTATCTACCAGTAACTCAGAATTTTTCACTGTTGAGCAGTATAGCATGGTATGAATATACTTCAATTTGTTCATCCATTCTTTTACTGATGCACATTTAGGTCATTTCCAGCATGGACACTGGTTTTGACAGATTTCCATGGGGTTTAAGACTGGGATAGATGGACATAGCAAATTATCTGAGAACTCTAAGTTAGGAGCCACAGATATTTTTTACAGACTGTTCTAGACACTTTACATCACAAGTTCCTGCCAGAAATAGAATATACCTTTCTCACGCTCTATGAAGTGTCTGAATCAAAATGATTAAGCATCCAATTAAATATATTTGGTTCAGCATGGTCCTAATAGATACACAAGTGTGGATTGAATCTTACATGGTCTTATTGGTTTTTCTGGTGGAAAGGGCTCCATTTCCAGGTCTTAGAAAACAACAGGGACCCCCTGAGCCATCTCACCAGGGCATGCAATTGAGCACAAAGGCAACAGAAAGTGTGTGTCACCTGGAGAAACTCATCCAGACTAGAAACTGAGCCCCGAGTATATCATGTTCAACTCGGGTGAATTGTAAAGACATTGAAAAAAACCAACATATTCAAATACCTACTGTTTACAATATCAATAAAATGCTATGGAAATATTAATGGTAATAGCATACATTGATTCTTCTACAGGAAACATACTATCTTTAATCCTCACAAGTCTACCAAGTGAGTATTGTTCTTCCCACAGTTCAGGTGAAGAAGCAGACTTGGGGGCATTAAGTAAATTAAGGTCATGTACTTTGTAAGTAACAGACCCAGAACTTGATCCTGGGGTGTCACATTCCAAAACCCACCCAATTCTCCTTACAGTAAGACATCTTTATGCAATGAGTAGGCACCATATATTCTATATTTGAAGAAGTTAGATATAGGTACAACTAACTCACTTGTGATCCATTAGTGGTTTTTGATGATGAGAACTGCAAACCTCAATATCTCCATTCCAAAATGATCAGCACCCAGAGAAACTCCAGAAGTTTCCAGCGGCACACAAGGAGCTTAAATATTATACAACAAAGACTTAGCTGGTGTGCTCATAAGGACAGCTTTCATCAGTGCCTCTGTGCTACACCAGTCAAAACATTTAATCAGTTCTAATTTTTTTCTACCTTAAAAATAAGATTATTTTAAATGCGAGATTTTGCTACTGCCTCTCAAATAAGCACACACTTTAAAAATAGCAAAGAATGGCAGATATTTTTAGGGTAAACACACACACACACACACACACACACACACACGGTGATGTCCTCAGATTCCAAAGATAAGTCTTTCTATGAGAGCTTTTTCTATTTATTTTGATTCAGTAGTAAGAACACCTGCAGAAAGATCAGCTCTGTTCACAAGACCATTTCTTAAGAATTCATCGCAGACGTAACAGATGATAGCATGGAGACAGACTAAGCTAAGAGAGCCGGAGAACGACTGACGATTCCCATGTCCTGCACGTGTTCTGAGAAGATGACATTCCCACAATGCAGGCATTCAAAACTAAGTGAGGCATGGCAGACAAGAGCATGGCAACATCAGAAAGTCATTTTGCTTGGAGACGGTCCAGGTTTCTTCCAAACAGTAGTAGATGATTAAACCACAGAAATAAGTTTTAATAACATTTGCGCAATCATTTTTCAGTGCATGGGAGGAAACGAGCTATAGCACTGGGCTATTTCACCCAGATTTAAAACATTCTCACCCAGATTTAAAACTCTGTGGAGAGGGAATAGAAGGAATAGATAACCAGGCTTGTGGTGCTAGATCCCACACACCCTTCACCCTCCCTGGTATTCTATTTGACTATGGGAGTTTTTGGGGCTGGGGCTACCTAAAATGTCATTTGTCCTTTTTATAAGCATATTTTCTGTGTTAGATAAAATATCCATAAATATACATTTAATGCCTGCAAGTATTATCTCATATAGCTGTGCAGTAATTTGTTTAATCATTGGCAACATTCAAAGAATGAATCATCTCAATACAGATAAGGGTGCAGAGAGCCAGCCATCTATCCTTCTATACTGGCATAGTTGGTAGTATAATTGGTATAATCATTTAGCAAACATTTTGGCAATATATAAAAAAGGTTTTATCCATTTAACAAGATTCATCAAAATATTTAATGCCTTTTTAAAATTAAAATGTCTAGAAATAAGTAACTGAAGTAGAATTTTAGCAATGAGAAAGGATACTTCATGGTTGCTTTCATTTACATCTGTGATTACTAGTGAGTGGAACAGTTTTTCAGATGCATACTAGCCATCTGATTTTCTCTTTAGGAAACTATCATGTCCTCTGCTCCCTTGTCCATTGTGGCCTTAGTGTTATTCAAAGAATTATAATAAGCTAGTTATATAATGAGAATATTATCCATTTATAGGTTAGCATTTGTTTATGACTCAGGTGTCTGTTTTCATCTAAACCTAAAACTGATCAACCCCCAAAGAGGAAGCAGTTAGGTGGCAACAACAAAGAAAAAAACTGAAAAGCAAACCACTTTCGTATTTCGTATATCAAAAGCATTTAGATAATTCTCCAACAAGGGACTCACATTCTGTGAATGAAGCCTTTCATAGGAACCCGTAAAGCACAGCAATGATATAAACATAATGAAGAGAAATCTGTTACTAGCACGTTGACATGTCTCCCCACCTTATGTCAAGTAGAAAATATCGAATCAGTTCAAATATATCTGTATCTAAAACAAAATCAAGTTTCCTTTGGTCGCATGAACAAGCCACAGCATTTACATCTTTGTTCAGTCCACACCAAGGACTGAAGTCTTGGGGACAAGTTTAAGAAGCCAGAGAGACACTGACACACCTAGACTGGAGGAAGTCTGTGGTCACACTTGTGCTGGACAGCCTGTCAGAGTTTACACAAATGCAGCCAAAGACAACTTCCACTGCAGTAAGAATTCTGATGCCCAGGGCCAGTTTGTGGCCCACTGCGGTTGTACTTTATTATTCTTTGCCAAGGGACCAATAGTTAGCATTTACAGAAAAACATGAGCCTGTGCATTATTTATTCCTTAGAGATAGGGGATGATGCCCAGTCTCAATAGTTGCTTTGGCTCTTTAATTATATTGTAAAATTAACTGTGACAGGTTGTTTTATTTCTTTTGTGTCAACCAAAAACACCCATGGGATACATAATTTGGTGATCAAAGCCTTAACTTAGGAAAATTACGAAAGATTTTAGGAAACAGACTGGTACCTAATGTGCAGAGGCAGTGTGGAAAAGGAAATTAGCAAACATTCAGCTAAAATGTTCTCAAGGGCAGGGACTCATGGTAATAATGGAGTCATTTCAAGCTTGAAGGAGGTTACCTATGGGAGACTGCTAGATCGCTTCAGGGATTGCAGCGTTTCATCAGCCTAAAAATGGAGCTGCCTCCAGAATTTCTAGGTCAGCAAAAGATAAAGAGGAGACATTAAAATCTAACGAAAGGAGAGGTTGGCATGAAACATTTATAAGGGGTTAAGAATGCTATAGATGAACAAATTAGGAGGCTATACACCATATCTAGAATATTGTAACCATGATAATGAATACTATTATTCATAAACCATGGACAAAGAAGGTGAGACAATTTGATATCTAAGTAAAATGCCTATAATCTTCCTGATAAAGTCTGAACTCACCCAACTCCACAAAGAGAATCTACGTCCAAGTCTTCTCAGGGTCACATAGCTCCTTCAGCTGTGACAAAGTGTAGGTGCTTATTAAATGGGTTCTAGTAATAAATAAAGCCTTATCTTCATCCAGGAAGAAAATTATTTAATCCATTTTCAGTATCTTCAAAGAAAGATTTTACACAGTCTCACCTAGAGGTGAACTTCTGACAATGAGGAACAATGAATAACCCAAAATTCATCACAGAATCCATAAACCTAACTTTAGGCAATAGCCTCTTCTTCCTCCTCACCCCCTCTCTCCTGCTGCCCTGTCGCCACAATCAGAAATGTTTATGACTCCAAGATGACTGATAACTCCTTTCCCTTCTTTGAACACAGGTATCAATGAGTGGTCAAAAGGTTAAAGAGTGGGCAACAAGATGGAAAGGCAGCAGCAGGCAGTTGGCTTGGATGGTTTCCAATAATGCAGTCACTTTGAATGTTCAAACCAGAAGCCATAAGCTACAGAATGGTTTCATTTTTCCTTTGCCTTAAGAAGGTGCATTCTCTCCTGTTTGCCATAAGCCTCAGTGCTCCTGGTTGTCTTCTATTTTGCCTGGTTTACCCTTCACTGATACTCCTTTTCTGGCTGAAGGTATAGATTCTATTCTTATAAATGATGTATGTATGTTGTGCTTGAAATGTATATTGTCTAACTTGTGGCAGGAATCTTTGTATAGCACAAAGGTCAAGTTCATTAATAGTGCTGTTCAAATCTTCCACAACTTTGATCATTTCATTTTCTGAGGCTTGTATGTTAGCATCTCTGATTGTTATTATAAATTTGTCTATTTCTTCTTGTCATTCTATTAAATTTTACTTACTTTGAGAGTTCAAGCTCAAGACTTTTATGTCTTTCTGATGAATTATTCCTTAAAATTATTTGCGCATTAAAGTCTCTTTTGCATGATAGTAATGTGGTTTTTATCAGCTCTCAGTTTTTTTCCTGTGGTTTTCTTTTTAATTATCTTTAGTCTCATAATCACATATAATTTTAAAATGTGTGTATATCTCTGCTACTTTAATCCTTTTAAGTTGAAAAAAGCACCATTCCCAATCACAAATACACAGTTCTACAGTTTTATGTTTCTGAATGGCTGTTTAAAGACAATCCTAAATTATAACTTAGTTTGACTTAGACTATAAAGAATTCAAGAGTGAAGTTTAACTTGCTACTGTTTTAAAAGCATGTGATCTTATAGATTTATAAGATGTGAGAAGTGTTGAATAATCTTTAATATTACACATAAACAATACTAAAATGCCTTTCAATAAGTAAAAGGAACCATTTTAAATACAGGGAATTATAATAAGATTGGCATCGTTAAGGCCAAAACTCTAGACATTGCTACCATTTATTTATCTTCAACCCTTGCCTTTAAGAGGCAAATGAACACAAAACACAGGTGAATCTTTCTTGGTTCTGAGACAGTGAAGGAATTTCTCCAGTATTTAAATATATTCACATAACCAGCTATATAAATCTAAATATAAAACCAATCTCCAGTAAGTTTTAAGATGGCACTCACCATCTTTGTGAAAAGTTGAACATTACTAATGAAGTCTAATCATATCTTTAGAAGGGGTAAACAGTGATAGCATTTACTGAATTGGAATTACTATTAAAATTCAAAAACTGAACATATTCATTTAACCACAAGCCAGTTTTAGTTTTAAATCAGGACTGCCCAACAAAATATTCTGTCATCATTCATGATCTGAATTCTGGTGTATGAGATCTATTAAAGTATGGTACACATAAAAAAGTCATGAGACATTTGTTTTGTAATAAATAAGGCAGTGGCCAACTATTAGTCATTAGTAGTTTTTTTGAGATAAGCTATCAAGTCTGCCCTTTCTTCCTTCTTCTTAATGCCGACACAGATCATTTTTGTTCCAGGGATGTACTTCTTGGGATTCTCCAAATACTCCATCAGTGTATCCTCTCCCCAGGTGTTGCCTTTGTTCTTATTGGCGGCTGTGTAAGAGCATCCAGGGGCCTGACCTGTCTTCCTCCCGAAGAGACCATGGAGATTTGGCCCAATCTTGTGCTTGCTTCCCTTTTCAACGGTGTGGCACTGGGAACACTTCATAATAAAAATCTTCTTGCCTTTCTCAACATCACCCATATTTAATTCTCTTTTTAGTCACTGGTGCAATGAAGATTCCCGCTCCGAAGCAGGATGTCCCCACTCTCTAAGTCCAGCTCTTATTTTTTAAACTGTCTTGCTGATTTATCTTTTTCTACCTCTTTACTTTGTGTTATTTGGCTTCAAAAGTCTCTTATAAATAGCACGGAGGAATCTCCATCTTCTAACAGATGTTAAACATTATATCTGTTAATAAATTATACTTATGATTACTAATTTTATTACACCCATTATTTATTCCATTATTTTCTAATTACTATGTCTTTTCTATGCTTCTGTTTTTCTTCTCTCCTGATTACTGTTAGGTTCAATAGCTTCTTATTCTTGTTTTCCAATTAACTGATATGAAAGTTAGACATTCTATTTCTACTGTTCTTGTGATTATCTTATATATATACACATACACACATACACACACACACATATATATATACACACACACATTATATATATAACTTTTATTTTAGGTTAAAAGGGGTACATGTGCAGGTTTGTTATACAGGTAAACTCATGTCACAGGGGCTTGTTGTACAGATTATTTCATCACCCAGATATTATGCCTAGTACCCAGTCGTTATTTTTTTCTGCTCCTCTCCTTCCTCCCACCCTCCACCCTCACAGGCCGCAGTGTCTATTGTTCCCTTCTTTGTGTCCAAGAGTTCTCATCATTTAGCTCCTAATTATAGGTGACAACATACGGCATTTGATTTTCTGTTCCTGCATTAGTTTGCTAAGATTACTTTAAATTTTTACAACTGACTCAAAGTTAATCAATATTTCTACCCTTTCAGAATAAAAAAGGATCTTAGAATGCTTTAACTCCAATTACCACCTACCACCTTCCATGATTGTTATCCAGCACTTTAATTCCATCTTGCTTTTTAACCCCCACTCCTCAAAGTCATTATTATCGTAATTAGTCAATGTTTGTTTAAATGGAACCACTAATTTACCACTTTCTTTTCTTACTGTTCATTGTTAAAACCCACTCCAATCCTCTGAGTTCTATCTCAGTCTTACAGAAATACATCTTGATCAGTCTTTAGTGAGTATTAATAAAAAGCAAACTTAAAAAATTTTTGTTGCAGTCTCCGTCTTTAAAAATATATATTTTTTCTGGGGGGTAGGTTTAAAATACATATAGTGAGGTGCATAATGTGCATGCATTTAAAAGGTTTGGCTCAATGAATTTTGCATATGTAAGCACCCATGCAAATACCATCCAGATCAAGATTATAACATTCCCATCACACTCTCATGCCCCTTCTTTGTCATTACTCACTCCACTATTCAGACATTTATCCCTATCAATTTAGCCTACTTTTTGAAGTTTATATAAATGGAATCCTATGGTGGGTACTCTGTGTCTGGGTTGTTTCACTGAACATGTTTGTGAGACTATCGTTGTTATCACTTTTTTCTTTTCTACCACTGTGTATTCCATGTCATTATCATTCTTAAAATAACACTTTAACAGGGCATAGAATTCTGGGTCGATAGTTTTTTTTCCTCAGATTTTGAAGATGTTATTCCAATGTGTTTTATTCTTCATTGTTGCTCAAAGAATGCTGTCAGTTGAACTGCTATTCCTTTGATAGCAATTTGACCGTTTCTTCTGGTTATTTATTTTTCCCATTTTTGGTTCTATTAAAAATGTTCTATTCATCTTTAGTGTTCTAATACTTCCATAGGTTATATCACAGTGTGGGTTTGTTTTTAGCAATGCTAAAAGAATTGACAGAAGTCAACGTGCTTCATCAATCCAATGTACATCTTTCCATTTAGACAATCTCCCCAAGCATCTGCATCACTAGAGTAGATTCAGACTCCACACCAGTATACCAGGACATGGAAAGAGCTTGATGGGTGGAGTTTCTCAAGTCCCCTTCTTGCAAAAGGGGCAACCCTTGAGAAGGTCAGCAATATATGGGGATTAAGTTTTAGCTCCCTGCTTGCACAGGTTTAGTCACATCAACTGCCCCTGCATGCGTGGACATTAACACAAGGGACTCTCCAAATCAAACAGCTTCCAAGACCATGCCTTCAGCTTTCTTCTCTGGTTCTTTTAAACTGCCACTTCTTTTTTTCATATCTGGTGATTTCTCTTTCTTTCTTTTGATCTCTATTATGACTTCTATTATGACTTTTTAAAAAGTATATTTTAACCAATTTTTCTTTTTTTTTTTTTTTTTTTTTGAGACGGAGTCTTCGCTCTGTCACCCAGGCTCCGCCTCCCGGGTTTACGCCATTCTCCTGCCTCAGCCTCCCGAGTAGCTGGGACTACAGGCGCCCGCCACCTCGCCCGGCTAGTTTTTTGTACTTTTTTTTAGTAGAGACGGGGTTTCACCGTGTTAGCCACGATGGTCTTGATCTGCTGACCTCGTGATCTGTCTCGGCCTCCCAAAGTGCTGGGATTACAGGCTTGAGCCACCGCGCCCGCCCATTTTAACCAATTTTTCTATTTGAGGTTAAAGGAGACTCTGCATGGACTTTGGCCAACCATGTTTCCAGAATCTAAATTTGTTTCACTCCTTTATCTACGAGATGCCCCTGCCCACACCACACTTGGCTCTTAACTAACAGCAAGAGCCCTGAAGTTATGGAGACCAGGATTTGAATCACTGCTTCACTACTGACTAGCTTTTTGAAGCTGGATAGGTTATTTAACTTCTCTGAACCTTAGTTTCTTCATCTCCAAAGAGGGGATGATCAAAATTCTAATCTCATAACATTGTTGTAAAGATGAAATATGGGAATGCATGTAAAGTACTTGGCACAGTACTTCAATAAGCGCTTATCAATAACAATTCATACAGGCTGAGAAGCACTTATCTGAAATGCTTGAGACCAGTAGTGTTTGGGATCTTAAATTTTTTCAAATTTTGAATATTTACATTATACTTAACAGCTGAGCATCCCTAATCCAAAAATCCAAAATCTGAAATGCTCCAATGAGCACTTCCTTTGTGCACGACCTCTGAGCATCATGTCAGTCCTCAAAAAGTTTTGGATTTTGGAGCATTTCAGATTTAAAATTAGGAATGTTCAACCTGTGTTAACCACTGCACAACAACTTTATTCAAGTTATTAATTCATCTACCTAAGGATCAGATTTATGCACAAGTTGGTGCCACATAGACACAGAAAAATATGTTTCATGAGGAGGAAGCAAAATGAATAATAACTAAATATGACAATAGAGATTCTATACATGTGGAATATAGAAGGTTGCTCTTTACAAATACCACTTTACAAAAATCCCATGTTCTCATAATTTTCCAGGGTTTGGTGAAAATCCTTGAAAGTCAGAAAGAAAACATTAAAAGCAAGAGAGAAGTGCCAGTGAATAGTGAGATAAAGGCTTGCCCCAGAACGTAAATCAATGCATGTGCTTCTTTCATCCAGAAAGTTGCTGTAATAAACAGATGAACTAAATAGTGTGTTTGGCAATGTAGTTGGTTTATATGATAGTGCAAGCATTTTAATTCACTGTAGCTCAGGAACAAACAGTTTACTGACTGGGTGGAGGAACACACTTTGAGTGATACTGCTTTAGGGACATTTTAGCACTATCCTAAAAGTGATACCATTGTTATGTAGGAAGGTAGGTACCTTGGATGCTGGGGGCCTGAGTTAAACAATAACCTCAACTGGAGAACAAAATAAATCATGCTACATAACCAAAGAAAGTTCATTACAAACCAATCAACAACTGTTAGAGTTCAGAAGTATATTGGAGTCTTGACCATATTGATTTGGGGATATAGATGGATCTGCCAATCCGACTCCTTATGTAGGAGATTTTTTTTTTTTTTTTTCCTGAAACGGAGTCTCACTATGTTGCCCAGGCTGGAGTGCAGTGGTGCCATCTCGACTCACTGCAACCTCCACCTCCCAGCTTCAAGCAATTCTCCCTACTGCAGCCTCCCAAGTAGCTGGGATTACAGGTGCACTGTGCCTGGCTAATTTTTGTATTTTTTAGTAGAGACAGGGTTTCGCCATGTTGGCCAGGCTGCTCTTGAACTCCTGACCTCAGGTGATCTGCCCATCTCGGTTTCCCAAAGTGCTGGGATTATAGGCATAAGTCACTGCGCCCTGCCGTCTAGGGGATTTTTTTTAAGGTGACTGTAATTACCATCATCATATTCATTTCTGCTATTTGATCTCTAACAGTTTTTTTTTTTTTTGATGGGGAGAAGCTGATAAATTTTAATTCATTTTTTCATTATTTTTCCAAAGAAGTAGCAGTTAGACTGACTTGATGTACTCTCAAAGTACACCTAATAATATTTTCCATGTACATTCAAAGTGAATTAGCTTAATTATCCCGATTTTATCATTATATAACGTATACGTGTAAAGTATCACACAGTATCCCACAAACATGTATGACTATTATGTGTCAGTTATAATCAACAACAATAACAAAAGATACAAAAGGGATTAGCTTGCTACAGTAAGGCCAAATCAAACATCAGATTTAATTCACAAGAGAATTATACCTTATAGTATAAATCTTACTAGTACTTTCAAATATCCTAGATTTTCTTGACTTTATTTGTATTCCTGCTTTTTATTTTGAGATGAAGTCTCCCTCTATCACCCAGGCTGGAGTGCAATGGCGTGATCTTGGCTCACTCCAACCTCCGCCTCCTGGGTTCGATTGATTCTCTTGCTTCAGCCTCCCCAGTAGCTGGGATAATAGGCACACGCCACCAAGCCTAGCTAATTTTTGTATTTTTAGTAGAGACAGGGTTTCGCCATGTTGGCCAGACTGGTGTTGAACTCCTGACCTCATGTGATCCACTCCCCTCAGCCTCCCAAAGTGCTGGGATTACAGGCGTGAGCCCCTGTACCCGGCCTGTATTTCTGCTTTAATCAATACTTTTAAAGCTTAATTTAAAAATTAGAAAAAAGGAGAAGAAACCAACAATATATTATGTATGGTTTAGCCTGCTGCAAAGAGAAGAAACTAGATCTGCCCAAATAGAAAATTTTAATTCTGGGTTTAAAAATACAATCTAATGCTCTTTTAAAAATATTGATTTTAAAATAAGGAAGTTAAAAACAATTTGACAAAACAGTATTGGTAGGCTTGAAAACTACAGAAAATAATTATTTCAACATTCACTATCACTATGAATTCCAAAGCTATGGTTTGCAAAATTTAGCTTGCTTCTTTGGAAATGACTGTTTTTCTAAATCTTGAAGAGAATCTAGTCACCTCAAGATGCTTAAAAGCCTTCAGCTAAGCTTTGCTCTGGGCTTCTGCAGCCCATTAGCTGGGGTAAATTCAATCCCTTCCACACACAAGTCTCAAGTCTGTCTTATCCCATAAATGTAAAGTGACCTAAATTTGGCAAAGTACTTAAAATCTGAATTATATATTTTCACTTTTTTGGCTATACTATTATTAATAAACTTAAGAAAAAGTATATCCC